AAAATGACGATCGCAGAAGTTTCGTCGTTGACGCCGATCGCGAGCACAGCAATCAAGCTAGAAGAAGCAACCGTGCATGTTCAAACCGCTGCAAGTTTACTGTACTACAGAAGTTTACTGTAAGTGGCTTGTTTTCTTATAATTATTAGAATCCAGTTTTATACAGAGTGTTCGTGTCAATGATTAATATTTAAAACCAGGAAAGAGGAGAAAGTGATAGTGTTTATTATAACCAACGTAACAATGTATATAAAGGGTATAGCCGGATAAGGCGGTCAAAAGTGCCTTTAGATCGATTTCGATCTCCGACGATGTATTCGATAGCTTATCGAAAAAAACTAATCTGTGCCAAATTTCAAGTGCCTATCTCAACTGGGGGGGGGGGGGGGCGAGAAAACAAAAAAAAACATGCCTTTGACCTATTTATCTCGTCCTATTGCATACAAAATTTTGAAAAAAATCACAAATATTTCAATTAGCAAGTCAGATATTTCAGAATTTTTTCTGAAAAAATCCTGATCTGATCCCGCCATTCACGCGGGAAACAAACATTAAAACTGTGTCGCTCCGATGCCTTGGACTGTTGGACATGTAATCCACTCAACGAAACAACGTTACAACCCTTACACTTGGGGGTGGACCACCCCTACCTCACCCCCCCTCCCTACAACTCCGGGGGCAGTTTTCGAAACGGGACCTTTTCGGGATTCATCCTTAACGTATCGAGAACAAACATGGTGAATTTCATCGCCCTCCGATGTGTGGAAGTGCTCCCTTACGAAGGGGGTTGAAAATTTGCGAGCTGTCCCCCCCCCCCAAAGGGTGTCTATGGGGTGCACGGTATGAGTGATGGCATTTTCTGGATCAGGGGAGTCCAGAGAATGCATTGAGCCCAAAATCGAGACTGTCGTCCAAAAATTGTGGATTTTATAGGGGGTAGAAGGTTGTGGGGGGTGGGTTTGTCCGAGAGGGATTTCAAGGGGTGCATTTTGTAGAAAGCATCAAGCAGAGTCGCCCCAAAGAATTTTTTGAATTTTTAAACCCCTTTCGTCATCCCTGGCCTGTTTCAAAGAGGCGTTTTTTACACCCTCCCCTTTAGGGGGATGAATTAACCCCTTCACATCAACCCTCGCCAATGCAACTTTGCACACACTTAGAAGACACTTGAAGACTATTCCTCACAAAGTTTCACCGAAATCGATTGAAAACTCTCATAGTTATGAGCATATGAAAAATCGTTCCGGTTTGCTTGTCCGATAGTGTATGTTAAAGTAGACATGCGTGTTAACGGTTTTGGTTATCCATGCCTCGTTTCGCCTTTAACTGCCGTAGGATCAAGGGTGGATCGAGTAGCTCTTGTGATATGGTAGAAGGAGGACATCAGGGCCCACAAGCTCCCGTATTTAGCGTTGAAGCCGAATCTAACCCACGCCCGTCGCGGATGATGGCGCCAGTGTCGTTACTACTACCACATATAATCGGTGAGACACACACACAACAGTATGGTCCCACGTATGTGTATTTAATTCGTCACGCCGCGGATGATGGCACCAGTGTCGTTACTAGTACATACATATAATCCGTGAGACACACACACAACGGTATGGTCCTACGTATGTGTATTTATACTTGCTTTAAAGTTAATCTAAATAAAAAAATAATTATAGTGAAAAAAACACAACTTATACAAAATTAAATTTATTATCACCGGAAAACATTGAAAAAACAATAAAGAATCTAAAATTCAATTGTATAAAATGTATTGCAACGTGATTTCCCGACACGGTCCGCGATCCGCGTCGGGAAGCGTGCAATATGAGAGTTTTCCGACTTCTGACGCCTTTACGGGAAAACCCGACCACCAGGTATCAAGAGATACCGGCGTGAGAAGCCGAACGTCGCGAAATTTACCACAGCTAGCGATCCGGATCGCGGAGAGGGGCGTAGATCGTCGGCGAGGAAAGGAAGTATGGGAAAGCCGTCTTCACGGCGAGACGGGGCGGATTAACACAGCACTCGTTTAAAATAATATGGAATATATTGTACGCGAAAGATGTTACAGAATTCGGTGTATGCTGTCGAGCTGTCGTAGCGTCAAAGGTCACCGGGACGACCGGTAACCCACACGAGAACCACGTTTCGAAAACACGTGCGGATTTCGTTCAAGATAGCCCAAATTCCGTCGCGATTCGCACAAAAGCGACTTTGGAAACGATGTTCGGACAGTCTTGACGCGGTCGCGGTGGGCTCGACTTCTTCGACGAGAACGTTAACCGGCAGCGATTCAAACACGTGCGCGTTACAATGGACTCGCGACTAGATGTTCGTTAATTCGCTCGATATCCTACACAAAGGCGGTTTCCCGCTAACAACGCTATTTCGCCCGACAGGGTGCTCGGCAGCCATCAGGTAACCCGACCAATTCACGATATCCTATCCATGAGCGTGAGGTAAAGGAGGAAGCGCTTACCGTACCGTCCACCACGTGTGTCGCTGACGAAATAGGTCCGGCCCTTTCCCTTTTCGCTGCTCGCGTCGGCGCACCGCAGTGTGGCATTTTCCTCATACCCTTTTCCGCGCGGTGCCCAAATTCAAAGCAGGCCACTCGAGCGCCATACACAGGCGCTCGCGCCGGGAATAAATAAAAATGCAATGATTCATTCTATAAACATATATCAACTAAACATATATTTTCTTACAACCTACAGGGTTCATAGAACCGCAAACAAAGATCATGAGTCATCATGTTCTTAGGCGCAAAGCCACAATTCTCGCTGATTTTAAATGTTTACACTTTATTATGTGAATATATATGCATTTTTATATTATTGTTCCGTTTGTATTTTCATACATTTTATATGAACGTATATGTATGAATGTTGATACTTTATTATGTAAATAAACATGTTTTTTGGATATACTGTGTCGTGGCAGATTCCCACGTTACAAAGAGGTGAACTCTCCGCGGGGAACGAGACCCGACCAAGATCGAGAGCGCCACCAGGGTAACTCAGGGTTTTGACTAATTTGCAAGTCTGAAGGGCAATAGCGTTGGGCTAACGACGGCAACACCGAGCGATGCGGATTAGAGGCTACCGATCCCGTCCAACCCGGCGCCGGCTGCACGGACTGGCCAGACGAAGCTCAAATGCACAGGGGCTGGAGGATCTTGGTAACAGCTCCTGGACTCCGCTACGACCTTCAGGGGGCAGGAGGCCGTTTAGGATAGCGAAGCCAGCCGGGTTCTCGAGTGCACCGAGACCCGGCCCGCTCCAGAGTCTTCGAGGGATGCCAGCACCGACACGCCACCAAAGTCGCCGAGGGACGGGACTGGACGGCCGCCGATGACGAGCACGCCGATAACGCGATTTAAATTTGGCCGCCATAAGGTGACGTGTGCCGCCGAGCATTGAGGTGAGGCTTGGGGGAAGCGCGTGAGCCAACGCTTGCGATGAGCTCGCGTAGCTCGTCCTACTTCGTCAGCGACGTGGTGGACGGTACGGTAAGCGCTTCCTCCTTTACCTCACGCTCATGAATAGGATATCGTGAATTGTTGTATATATATGTATTCATTCATACATATGATTGTATTACAATCCACACACTCATACATATTCGTACATATAAAATATATAAAAATACAAACCCAACAATAATATAAAAATGCATATACAGGGTGTCCCAGAACTCCTGTAAGAACCGGAAATGGGGGGTAGCTGACACGATTCTGAACAACAATTTCCTTTGCAAAAATGTTGTTCAGAATCGTGTCAGCTACCCCCCATTTCCGGTTCTTACAGGAGTTCTGGGACACCCTGTATATTCACATAATAAAATGTAAACATAAAGTATAAGCTTCATACAGGACTGGATTCATTACTAGGGAAGTAAAATATAATTAAAAAAGAGCAAATGTAAAATATTAAAAATTGAAACATAATCCCATTAAAACATGAATCCAGTCCTGCGTGCATAATTTTGCTCACTTACATTAATAGGTCGCGTTAGAAGTGGATCCGAGTCCATTCTCTCTTCGAATGCACTTATAACGCGATTTACTCTACGTATATATTTTTCGACAACATATATGATACAATTATGTATGATATATGTTGTCAAATTATTGCCATGTTCGGAGCATATGAAATCAAATTTTATATGCTTCGAAATTTGGTATTTAAGAATCGTAACAAGCCCGGGAATATGTGCCATGTTCGAAACATTACCATAGCAAACAGATACGACCTTAGAAAATAAAGATATGCATCCACTATGCATCGACGTATATTCTCCGACATCGTTAGTGTTATAATATAAATCTAAACAAATTCTACAACAAATTTTCTTACGAACAATTCGCGATACATATAGAATGGCAGCCTGAATAGATAATTCAGGTGCACTCGAAACATTAAAATTTAATGCAATGGAAATAGTTTCATCCGTCGATGCACGTAGAGCAACTGACAACAATTTTTTTAAGTTGACTAAAAGGTCTCCGGATTCTTCATATTCGCAATTGGTATCCCCACGTACAAATTGCGAATATGAATTTAGGAGTAGTGTGCGGTAATAGCAATGGAAGGTTCTGCATGTTGGATTCGTATTTCGAACACCATGCTATCTAATTTGACCAAAAAAATTCTCAAGGGCATCTTGATTAAAATTACGCGGAATAAATGAATGAAATCCAAGACTCTGCAGGTGTGATTTTAAAAATATAAAATTTCGAGGGGTCGTCACTCAATTCTGCAGAACCTTCGGACGCTCCTTATCCGCAGGCTTTCTTTTAATAATCTTCATGGTGCGAAAAACTGAAATTGCTTTATCCCAAACATTAGTTTGGGTCGTATCTGTTCTGTGTGTCCGATTCGCGACTCTAGTATTAACAGTGTCGAACGTATTATTCATAAAATGAATAAGTTCAGCAGTGTCAATCCCTTGATCCGACATTTCCCGGATACCACACATACTGTTGACCTTGTTACGACTCGCAAATGTCATAATTGATCCAACTGATCGACTAAAAATTTGGGCGCAATATTTAACTTTCATTTTCGGAATTTTTGAAGAAATAACATGTTTTGCAGTAAGTTTCTCCAGGAGTCGGTTCACCGAAGAAACATTACTGCTATTAATAAAATATAAATCTTTCATGTGTGACCATTTAGCCATCCATTTAGCCACGTTGCCCATAGGTCCCACGTTGTCTATTGGTCCCACGTTGTTCTGGTATCCAACGGTGAGCACAGGTTGATCTATATTAACAAAATTATATAACATTATATATACACTTAATGTTGGAGGTCTTCTCATTTATATGTGGCGTATTAAGTGTATTAAGATCACAAACTTACGTTCTTCTTCTTCTTCAATTTCCATTACAAGTTCCTCCTGTTGGTCGATAGATGTCCCAGGTGCTAATAGAATTTAATAAATATTTTCATTAATAATTTGTTAGATATAGTTTAAAAAGTGTATAGTCAATTATTACCTGGTAAGTTGCAGCTTGGTACTGCATGATTTGTAAGCTTTGATTCAACGCGGTAATGAATTTTGAAGTGGTCCCCACAAACCACTCGATTTCTCAACCGGGCGGGAGGGAGTTGGAATAGATCTTCCGTTCCACAAGCTTCAAGCCATTTTAAACATCTATCGCTGTCCTTCGACAGACAGGGGAAGCTGAACATCGGCTGCCTGGTGTTTGTGCACCCCAGTACAGCACATTTTTTGTGGGATCTATAAATATATATTTACATAAAGAAAAAATTAATAACTAAAAATTAATAATTAATAATTTCGAAATTTTTTCTAGGTATCATTTCAATAAATAATGTACAGTGAGCCGAAAAAGTATTCGGACACCTTTTAAATGCTTTTAAAATGCAATTGAAATGAATTGAAAGGAAAGGACAAAGCAGGACAAAAGAAAGCACGGGAATAACTCACCCTGCCCTTTCGTATTGTAACAAAATATATAAAAGCCGTATTTTTTCTTTTAGTAATTATTTAGTATTTTTATAAAAATAATAACTATTTACCTCTTATTATTATCCATAATCGGTTTGAACTAAAAACACTATCGCAGCACTCGCAATCACGTTATGACCATATGGAGTTGAAATTTTGCCGCACTTTGCCGAGCGCGTTCACCATAGAATAAACGTACACAGAATATGAACTCAATCGCACGAAAGGAGTGACAGTAGTGCCATCATCCCCAACGGGCGCGAGATAAATCGGGCTTCAAGTTCACACGAGTAGAGCTTGTAGGCCCCTGGAGGAGATTTCGGGCTGTGGCTGACAACCCCTGACGGACTTTTGACATTTTTATTCACTCTAATTTAGATTGTTAAATGTAAGATTCGTCATATTAATAATTTCTGTAACAGCTGGGGTTACTAAAATGATCGTGCGTGAGTTTAATATATATATATATTTTAATAATCATGTGCATTAAAACTTTTACAGCGTAAAGCGCGCGAAGAGTATTCTTTGACTCGGAGTCCCGTAAACAGCGAGTGACTGACTGGCTCCTTCCGCAAATTCCACTACATTTATAGTATTCTTTGGAAAGGCGTTACCTTAATTGGCGGGGATGGTCGATGAGTTTTCGGGACTGGAAAAGGTGGTTGCCACATGTAGGCAATAAGGTCATTTCGGGACCGCGCTACCCGCGCGGTCGGAAAGACCTTGGCGGTATATGACTGGCAGAAGTTGTAAAGAAGGACACATTTTACGGAAACGGTTTCTTAAGAATGTTAAAATAATTTGCCGTCTTGCAAACACCAGGTAGGTTTTATTACCTTAAAACCTAACATCTGCAAGCGGTCAGTTTTACCCTCGCGCATCCGCAAACCATATACTGCTACAATTTCCCTACATAATTTATATGCGTGGAGAAGAATGTGAATGAGAGCTCTAAATTGAAAAAAGTTATTTCTAAAGGAAATAATTTTTTTTGTATAAGCATTATTTTAAAATGTAAAATAATGAAAATGTACTCATATTGTCAAAGTTTTAAATCGACAAATTAAGTGAAAGTCTGCGAGAGAGAAAGTATGGGTCTTGATGATCTGAGAATGCTTTGCCACGCCACGCCAAGCATTTGACTTCCAGGCCACGGACAACTGGGGAGGGTCGGGGCGTGCCGATCACGCCTCCGACGACTCTCCCTTACCGGTGTCGGCGTCTTCTTGTCCTGGCGTTTAGGAAGCTCTTTGTTTTCTGAACCAGTACGGACACGAAGATGCCGGGGGCTGTGGGTGGACTGAGCGGGGTCTCGGGAAGCTCATTCCGACAACCCCAGGGATGGGGACACCGGACGGGTCCCTCCGCCCGGGGTCTTATAGAGTAGATAGTGGGGGAAGCTAACACCCTCCCCCCGGGATTCATGTAAGCTGGGCGCGCCTTTGGCGCTCCCCTCCCCGATGGTAGTCCCACATAACCTCGGTTTTTCCCCCCGGGAAACCGAGGTATGCGTAACGCATTTCCCCACAATAAAAAAAAAAAAAAAAGGCCACGGACAACTAGGCAAATGTCTAAACAGTCTCAGTTTGTGGTTGATAAACCTTTGGAAACCACTATTTAGCTTCTTCATTTCACTGTCAAAGTGCGGAGCAGTCAGTTTACATGAGTTGTCATTAAGGTCTGAACGTCTGCACTGTTGAACACAGCATTTCAGCTGCGTATAGTTGGAAAGCACCGAATTTGATATTATGTTACACAATGTCACCTTGCACTTTCCTGGAAAGGACCTTCATGTACTGGCTGTTCATTTCGATTTCACATCTTTTTCTACTTTCTTGAATTTTTTTAGGGGGATCTTCTATTTTTCTATGATTACTCTTTAAGTCCTCCACTTTTTCATGTACTTGGCGTAATTTTTTTACTTCTTTTAAGTTTTTATGGGGATTGTACATATACGTACCATTCGTTCGATTTTACTAGTGTTAAAATGAGAAAGCATGTTATCTTCTATCATTCTCCAAAGTATAACACCCGTGCTCGAGCGATCACTTTATAGTTTGCCGCTACACCGAACCCCCTGTTTTGTCTACGGGTTGATGTTTTACTGACTATGCCGAATTCGCTATTCACAGAGTCGTTTATAATTCACTAAGTAAGCAGCAATAATAACTTCAATGTTGAATATCTCGTAAATTATAAATCGTCTGCCCCCAAAACTGAATGTCATTCGCTTCAGTTTTCCACTGTCCAAAGGCTCATCAAAAAATTAGCGTCATATCTGGGCCAGTTCCTTTATCAGTCTCTCTTTCTTCTTCATCAAACTGTCTCTTTCTACTTCGTCGACGCTTTCAAACTTCGGACGGATTCGAAGCTGATCGAAACATTTGGTTACACATACAATGTATGTAGGTATAATAACCAGCCGAAGTGTCGATTCTAAGTTTACATGCGGCTCCAGCTGAGCACGAACATAGAAAGAGACAGAGAGAGGAAAGCGAAAGAGAGAGGAGAGAGAGAGATCCAAGTCACGAAGCTAGGAACCAAAACATATCGGCGGGCACGAGACAATACTAATGTAACAATAAAAATTTTTTATTTATTAATTTTTTTAAATCTAACTTTTTCCAATGTATTTGTAAAATTTTTATAATTACAGTGAGACCAAACACAATATACATACAACGAAACAGGAAAGTATTCGGCTATTTGTTTGTATTTTATTTTTTATATTACCTCTTATATCAAAATTTTTTTTTTTATAAATTATACAAGATGTTCGACAACCGAACAAAGTATAAAATAAAAATAAAAAAATATACAGCAACTTGGGATCGAACTAGCGATATCTTATGTACGATACTACGATCAGTGATACCAGCCGGGCCGGGATTTTCGCTCATGTACTGCCAGAGTGACCGTTAACAGTGCCGTATTTAGGGTAACAGGTGTGGAGTGCTATAGCTATTGTGGCTATGAGCGCGAAATCATTAAGATATTTGTCCTTATTATTTATATATTGTCTATAATTATATATTGTCTTTATATATTGGCCTACGTTTGTCCATAAATCATGAATATATCTGTAGAATTATGCAGAGGTAATTAAGATACACCTTTTTAGTCGTGCGTATACTTCATTGATGCTATGTTCGCTGCGCGTGCGCGAAATACCTGACCCGACTACGATACCTGCGAACCAAGTCGAAAAGCGTGTTTAGATGGTCGACACGGTAACAGAAAGGAAGACGACGACAGCGCTGCGGTGGAAAGCACGATATTGAGACAGCCATGTTGGCATATGAATCGTCTCAATCGTAGCGACACCACCAATGTAATTTTATGAGGCGAGGAAGCAACCTTTTTGGCTGATTCTTTTTTCAAATTGTTCCTTGTAAAATGCTGTTGCGGGGGACAGTTACAGATTTTTGGAAAAAGCCCCACAAAAAATGTCTTGTCTTTAAACGTATTTTTAGCACGTTTCAAAAGCGAATTGCAAAATGTGTAACTGTCCCCCGCAATGGTATTTTACAAGGAACAGTTTGAAAAAAGTACTACATGCATACTACGACCCCCATAGGGTGTCGTTGCAAAAGCGA